TGGTTCTTGACCATGGCTTAAAATGTAAATTCATCTAATTAGCACTGCCCTCTCCTACACTTTACCCAATCCTATTTTGTATCCCCTTTTTCTCCTGCTGCTCCCCTCCCTCATGATCCTCCCTCAGAGGAACAAAGTCTTTCCATGTAAGCCTGGCTCTTCTGTACTCACTGGTTTCCCTGCAACCTCCATAGGTGAGGTGGGGGATCACCTTGCTCCATTGCTGCTTCCAAACTCTGCTTCCTATCTTCCCATAAAAATCCTTCTTCCACTGAAGTTCATGCCATACTTCTATACATCCATCACACATCCATGTATCACTTCACCCATGTACTACAATAGCTGGCAAATAGCAAGAACTAAATAAGTACTGGTTAAACTGTTGGTTCTTTGAATAAATGACTGAATGTAAGAGTTGTTTTCTTGGTCATGCTTTCAGCATTTGTTTGAGGTTTTGGTATCTGATTCTTTAAAAATTTTTTCTGTATCTTCTTTTCAAATCTTGATTCTTGATGAAGTGTTCACGGAGAACCACAGTTTCAGAAATAGACCAGTTTATATGTAGCACAAAAATTTTACCTTCCTCCAAATTCCTTGATCTTGAGTGACTTACTTCACCCTTCACTAACTTCAACCACATTGACCACATCTAGAACCATTCCCTGTCCTTTTGTGTGACCACAATATTTATGCTTTCACGTCTCTTCTACCCTGTTTCCAACTCCTTGATACTTTCATTTCTTCCCAGTGGTCTCCTGACTGTGCTTCCCTTCTTATACATCCTAAAGTAGTGTCTTAAAATGTACTCAACACCCTCTATCCTTCTTTTCCTCAGTTCTGCCTAATTCATTTGAAAGTAAACCCAACTTGAAACCTACATTACAATTTATATTTTTTACTTCACTCCAACTCCTCAGCACAGCTGGAAAAACTGCAACCTTGAGGTCTAGTGCCACTGCCCTTTGCTCATCACTGGAGGATCTTCACCAGCTACTTGTCAGCCATATTTACCATGCCTTCTAATCAGTCCCCTCAAAGCCCTAGCCCTACTCTACCTCATTCCCAGCAGATGGCATGGGATTCCCCCATTTTTGGTCTTCTCCACATATAAACTGGTCCGTTTCTGAATCCAGCCTAGTACTTCCTTCATGTATCTGCACCAGTTTTTCATTCCTGTTCTATAGTCAGTCTTCCAATTCTCTTTTATTGCCTCTGGGCCCTTGTTTCAATTATTTGATTTAAAAAAAAATTGTCTGAAGTTAACTATGTACTGGGCTCTGTTATAGATGTTAGTGCACAGTAGGAAAACCAAAATGGACAAAATCCTGTCTCTCACTGGGGAATAGAGGAGGGTGGGGCAGGTGTGAAGAAGAAAAAATAAACAAATAGAAAGTTAAAAACAAAAGAGGTAATTTCTGTTTTCATAGATCTCATCCATGCCACAGGAGAGGAAAACCAGGTGTGGTGGTCCCACCTACTGAGGATGAGGAGGATGATAAATTAGAGGCCAATCTGGGCAATATAGCCAGATCCTGTCTCAAAATACAAAGGGATGGGGATGTAGCTCAGTGGTAGAGCACTTGTCTAGCATGTACCAGGACCTGGGTTTGATCCACAGTATCACAAAAAATTTTCAAATAAAACATTTTTTTTTTTTAAAAAAGAGGGAAACACTGACTCTTGAAGGAGACACTCTATGTTGAGAAGTAAACCTCTCGACCAGCACCCCCAACTCTAGTGCACTCTTTCAGTCTAAGGACAACTTCCTTGGCTCCTGAATTGCCTTCTTACTGCATCTTTGATGTCTAATTCTTCTCTTCTTTAAAGATCACCCTGTATAAACCATCTCTAAATTCTTACTTTCTTGGTCATCATTTTAGATGAACTCTAGATAGGGAAGAGGGTTGGGAGGGAAAGGGAGGGGGCAGGGGCTTACCAAGGATGGTGGAATGTGATGGACATCATTATCCAAAGTAGATGTATGAAGACACGAATTGGTGTCAACATACTTTATAGACAACCATAGATATGAAAAATTGTGCTGTATATGTGTAATAAGAATTGTAATGCATTCTACTGTCATTTATTTAAAAAAAAAACAATAAAAATAATGCATATCTAAAACAACAACAAAAAGCTGAAGAATAGATGATATACTTCTCAGTTGTCTAGAACCTTCTGTTCTACCACTTCATTCATTCCACTCTGGAAAATGTACCCAGTGCCACTTCAGAGTGCCAAATCTGGGTGGACTTTTCCCTGCCTTACTTTGCTACAGTACAAGTACTTGTTGCTCTTTCTCTTCCAGTTCTCCTTAAATACTGATGCTAAAGGCAAAGTTCCACCTTTGTCCACGTTCTCTTTCCCTATGTACCCAATTTACGTAGGATGGCATATAAGTTTTATGATCCTAATGGGATGCCTTTGGGAGTAAAGGAGGATACTTTTAATAATTATTACTCTGGGGTAGCAGATGCAAACCAAGATTACCCCAAACTAGGATATATGGTCACTCTCTTCTTAGGAGATTGATAGCATCTACTATTATAGTCTTGACTGACAAATAGCTGTAATTATTTGCAAACCTCAACCAGTAGCCTTGATAATGACATTGAACATTATTTTCCAAATCTTCAGGTGATGGTTTCTCATAGGCATCTCAAACTCAGCATGGCCAAAACTCAATCATTTATATTCCTAAAACCTGTGGATCCTTGTATTTTCTCCCCAATGACCCAGCCACTGAAGCCTCTAAAGCAGGGGATTGTTCTAGATTTCCCATTCTCCCTTACCTATCTCCTAACATTTCTGCATTCACTCTTTTTCCCTAAACTACTCTTATAACTTTTTACCTGACCTTATTCTGTCTTTTTCAAGTTCATTTTCCATGTTGTTGCAAGAGTGATCTAAAAGTGATCATACTTCTACTTTGAACCTTTTGATAACTCATTTTAGGCTGAAGACTTTTATCATGATTCCTCCTATTTACATCTTCAGTCTCATAATCTCACTTACTAACTCCTTTTACTCAAATAATCCCAAATAGCTTGTAGAAACACAAACACAAACACCACACTCAAAAAGTGGCTTCTCACTTCCAGTCCCTTATGAATGTTCTTCCTTCAGCCTGAACACAGATCACCTTACTGGATTTGCCAGTATATATACCATTTTCTCTACTCACTCACAGCTGGCCCAGAGGAGGCACAGTGTCTCTTCATAAATTTTCATACTACATTCCCTCTCAATTGCAGTATCAGATGTGTCTATTTGAAATTGTTTATGTCATTATTCCCTAATAGTTTGAAAAACTTCTTCAAGACAATAGTAGCCATAAATAACTAAAAAAAATTGACTCTATCTTTAAAAGACAACATCTATTTTATGGATTTAGCCACAAAATTAAAATAAGCTTGACTAAATATTCATATGAAAAAGCAACTTCTTTTCTGCACTTTTCCACATGTGCCCATGTCTTATAAAACAATCAGTAGAAAGATTAAAAAATGTATAAGGGCTTCAGCTGCCCCATATTTGCCATGTTTTATGAAATTAAAAAAACAGATTTTAGTTCAGGAGATGATTATATTCAATTTACAAATATATAGGTGTGTGTGTGTGTGTAATGTGTCAGAGTCATGAAGAGACCAACTCTTAAGTGTCTAAGATTACAGAAAATCAGAATACATTTCAGAAGTTGTTTGATGTGGAAAGTTCTGTGAAAATATGATCCAAGTGTTTTTTTTTTTTTTTTTGCTGTTCTAACAGTTTTCTCATGCTGTTTTTTATTACTTACAATTTTAAAAACATACAACTTTCAAAGGGAGATAAATATGCAATATCCAAAAATCAAGTATCCACCATATCTATCCAAACAGCCTCAGCTACTTTCCAGATGTCTTCTATGGTGATTTCCATGTTCTTATATGATTAGCTCCAGCTCCAAAAGAAGGAATTCTCACTTTGTCTGTCAAAACCCAAACTGTTTGACCTTTAAGGCACAGGAAAAAGCTCAATTTTTGGATAAAATGTGGTGCTCCTGTCACTTATTTAATTTAAGTAATTTTGAGGGAATTAAAAAAGTATAATCTAAAAATTTTAAAGAATATTAGTGTTACCAGAGGCATAACAAGAGCATCTGGTACAACTGGTATTCAATTAAGAAATAAAGAAAGCTATGTAGCAAGTTAACAGTCATGATAAATAACAACTCCAAATAGTATGTGTTCTTTTGACAAAGTGCTGCTTAATCTTAATAATAGTTTTTTACTTCCTAATTCAGCAACAGTACTTTGTGCAATCTTTACTAATCTTGGCTTATAAATCTTGTTTATGAACTGTGATTATTTTTGAAAAGAAAAATAATTTGGATTACTTTGAAATTTAAAACATGCTCTGATATTTTCTTCATGACAAGGATTATCAGAGTATTGAAAGGGGGTAGGCACTGGCGTTCTGGCTATGGTAAGTTGCCTTAGGTAGATCTGAGGTGATGGGAATGCCTCTACCATTAGACACTACACTGGGGAATGAATTTTGATAAAATTTAACTGGGAAGAAGTCAAATACTCTTTTTTTTTTCAATTGGTAAGGTGATGATACTATAAAAACAGCTCCAACTTTCAGATAAACATTGTTGAATACTACTACATGTCAGAAGGTGGAGCTCTACACATATCTGAAATACTGGCTTTTATATATGAATTTCACAAATATGTGTAACAAGAAGATTAAAGCAGGAGTATCTTGAGAAAAATGGTTCTAAAAAATATTTCAATTCTTTCATGATAAAAATCATCCTCCACATCTCCAAAACTATAATGGCTACTGATAAAAGAGATGCTTACAATTTTCCATAGAATCATTGTTATATCATCTACTATAAAAATTTAGGTATATGTAAATCGAATAATAAAATTTAAAATATATTTTAAAGGCAAAAAACCACTTTTGAAAATCAGGGCCCCCTAGTCGAATACAGGCAAAGTCCTAATACTTACAAGCATCTCGAATGTAGAGTAACATGGCTATGAAGATATAGTCCACTAAACTCAGGCTGAGGCCATCTGCAAACAAGGCATCCCAGACCACCAGGAGGTCCTGCAGAGGGAACTCTCTGCCAAACAGTAGCCGCACCCACCGTCTGTAGAGAAACAAAACAAAAATTTAGAAAATGGTACTTTTGAGTGGAATTATGAACAAGTTATCATTTTCTCATGTAATTGTGAAGAAATTTGATTTATTAACTGAATACAGTGAGCAAACATTATATGTCAAAGACACATTACAGCAAAATTTAAGTTTTGAGTGAACATATATAAAATACAATAAAATCTAAGTTTTAGGCATTTAAACTAATTTTAAAATTCTATACTAGGCTAAGATGATTAAACTTTTATTTCTCTAAGTGTACAATACAAACATGTTTAAAAAGTGTAGAAATTTTTCATATTTAATAAAAACCACAAATCCTCAAAAGGAAAAAAGAAAAAATGAATATGTAGTGGTCTAGTAGTTGCCTCATATGTAAAGATCTGAATTAAAAATACAATTTCCCCAAGTTTCATAATCTTTACAATTTTTTGTTAACTTAACCTTTTGCAAGCATTTATATGCTAACAAATTACTATAGCCAAACCTATAAAACTGCATTCTCGCATGGTATTCTTATTTAAAATATTCATTTAACATTATATGTAGGGGAAAATTAGTACTCTTGTACATATTTTTTGGTAAAGTGTATATAGTTATTTTAAATGAAAATATAATTATACTTAAATTTTAGCTTTAGAATAGATATATTTTCTTTCTAGGGAAGTATATAACCACCCCTAAATATCCCAGCTTAATTATTCAAGTTGATTTCTACGGCCAGGTAAATGAGTATCACAGAATAGACATGAACAGTAATAGTAACTTTGTGTGTAATTGTATTACATAAATAGTGACATTTTATACTTCCAGCAAATGCTAATTAATCAATTTATATCTAATGCTTACAACACCAATAGGAATAATTCAATTTGGTATACTTTTATCCATTTACTTCAAATTTTATATAATATTGCTACACTTTTCTTAACAAGCCTTTTGCTTAAATACTTCAGTGAGTATTTTGTGATTCTGGCACATAGCAAAGACTTAATTGTTCTAAGTTGCTAGTGCTATCAAGTAATGGAGAATAAAAAAAAACTGCTCGTAATTTAGCTAGGAAATATTACTTCTTTGTAAAATTTGAAACCAAATATAACCATCTGTGACGTTACAGTGAGGAAAAAGAAAATATTTAAATACTTTTCTCTGGGAGTATTATATTTAAGGAGGAATTAAAGTTGTGGGAAAAAAGTATATAACCACCCCTATATATCCCAGCTTAATTATTGAAAATTATGTCATCAACTACTTAAGTTCTATTAATTATTATCACCAAATTAATCAGAATAATTAGACTGTATTTTTTAAACTACATCAATTACTGCATTTTTCAGGGGGGAAAATGCCCAGGTGACATTCATTTTTTTTTTTAAATGCTTACATCTTCTGTCATTTTCATTTATCTTTAAAATTATATTCCATGCTAAAATGATGAGTGACTAACTTAAAATTTATATATTTTGTCAAATATGCTTGTGTTTATGTGCCTTAAGAAAAAATTACTTCTCCCACACTTCTAATTCTTTTAAATTACAAATGCTAATATTTAGTATGCCAAAAAGAAGAAAAAATATTTCTAAGTTAAATGGGTTGTTCTTCTGAATTACAAAGAATTAACCAGAGCAAAGAATATCAGGGGAAATAGATATGGGCAAAGCAAAATAGTATGTGGATTAAACCATTTTGAGTACTCCTGAAAAGGATTTTTAACTGACACATACATAAGTGCATTCTTAAATGACTAAAATATTTAGAATGAAGCTACTCAAAATTATTCAATTGATACAAATGAAAGAAAATTCCAACAAAAATAAAACAAACGAAGGTTGGTACACGACCACAGATGAGTGTTGCTATCCTTCCCAGCCTTCCTTACAGCTCAAATGCCTGTAATTTTCCTATAGGCAATAACATTTTTGGTTTCATCACAGACAGTGCTTCAAGAGCAAAATAAACAAAGTAGCTTATTTTTTAAAAATAATTTTTATACCTATGATTTTTATAACCAAATACCAGTTATTGCTCAAACTTCTCTTGCAATCTTCCTGCTGGTTAGAGTTGTATTAGCTTAGCTTCAAAAATGAGCCCACAGATACACGCATGCAGCAAATTCCACTGCAGTACTGTCAGGAGGGCAACTGCAAAGGCTGGTAATTTACACTGAATACACTTCTGATTTTTACCTGTGTCCAACAGTTTATATGTTTAATATTTTCAAAACTACACAAAATGCAGGTCTCTAGTAATTTTGTGTAATCTGTTATGTGCTGCTTTGTAATTGCTTCACATTGCTTCAAAGTTTTAAGTTGCCACATGACTAAATAATTCTGGGGCAAGAACTAAATCTGCATGTGAGGGGGGGGAGGGAGGGGGGGGGGGGAGGGGGGGAGGAAGAAGGGGGGAAGGGAGGGGGAGTGGGAGGAAGAGAAGGGAGGAGAGGGAGAAAGAGAGAGAGAAAGAGAGAGAGAAGGAGGGATGGATGAAGGGAGGGAGGGGAGATAGCAGTAGTAAGAGAAAGGGGGCAGATCTACAAAGTTCTTTGTAAAGAGCTCTATATACTTCACTAAGTGCTCTATCTGTTGTTTACCAAGGTCTTGTTAAATACACTGTAAAGCCACCTGTCACATTACTGAGAAGCAAAGGTGTAGCTAAATTGGAAGCATAGGCATTGATCTTCCTAATGGTGGCACAAAAATAATTCAGGAAGTGGGGGGAAAACCAGAAACACATTAAAAATAATTTATTATTAGATACCTACTATGTTATTTTATATTAGTATTTGTAATTTGTATATACTAGGATATTTTAAAGTAAAATACTCTTTCCTCTATTTTATATGCTCTTATGCCCAAACTAAGGTCAAATTCTCAAAATATTTAAGAACCACCATATGACTAATAGAATGCTGTGGGACCAACAATGACATCAATAATTTAATCATTTAAATCTCAACTGGATTTAGTTCATATATATATTCACAGCACAAAAAATTTCCTGTGCTATTTTTGGGCTTTACTTCATTGAGCTTAAAAGCCAAGGAAAATTCAGCCTATTATGGAATGAGTTACAAATAGAAATTATTTCAGGAAGCTTTTGTATTCTTAGAAAGGAAAACTTACTCTAAGAAATGAGGTCTTATAAAAAAGTCACTCCTACAATTAACATGCTTTTATTGCAGTTAAAAATATTTAGTGAGAGCTGAAGTTACACTTAAGGGTAGCATTAAACCTTTCTTTTTCCCTTAAAGATAGCTACAGTTTAATTGCTTGATACTATTAATCTTGCTTTATGTATGTTACACCTGCAGACTGCAATGTTCATATATTTTATCACTTGTGATAACACAATAATTCCTATTTTACCAGACCTACTTAGTAATTAAAATCTGTACAAACAAAAAAAGATTATCTGAAGTATTATAGTTACTAATAAGCCACTCAAAGACAGGGCAGTTTCTGTTTGCACCTATACTGTTATTCTCTATTTTAAATTTCTGTGTAACTAAGCTGCTATTCTCAGGAATCAGTAACTACTGATAGTGTTATTGTGTGGTGAATGACCCATAGAAACACCATGAGAAGTCCATTTTTAACCATCAGTTTATAAAAACGATCCATTTATATTTTAATAGCCTTGGTCCAACATGGCTGTAGTGGGTTATATAAGGAGAAAGAAATTTAAATCCTTGACCTTCATTTACCTTTTCTTTTAATGACCCTTTAGTGTCATACTGATATATCTATCTTACAAGAACAAGTAATGTAGGAAAGCTATATTTGACTTAATTCAACAAACTTCACAAGGGCATGTCAAGTAACCTGTGATCATGAAATGATAGCACTTGGTAAGCATGTTGAAACACAACAGAGCAGTGTTATATTTTTGCTCAATTAAATTAATTTTAGGTTTTGCTTTCTGTTCACTTCTTTTCAGAGCTAATGAATTTTAAATAATCAATGCCTGGTATGGAATAAACACAGAATCCAAATTCTGTTATTATCGGGAAAAAACAAAAGCAAGTCAAAAATGTTTTTGTGAGGTTGAGCACCTAACACCTGGACTAAATTTAGGCTCTTCTTATGTTGGGTTTCTTTGTCTTTCCTGTTTTCAAACTAATTAATCCTGAGTATTCCTTTGAACTAACTCTGTGAGAATAGTCAAAATTAGAATTTAATATTGCATGTATTATAATTAAGGTCACAAAGGCATTCTCAATTTTAATTCTAACTTTCGAGAGCAACTTTACAAAAAGATGGAAGGACAAGTAAGTAACTTAGTTCTAATTTTGCACATCTTATTCCTGGAAGGGTACTACTACACAGTACATTCCTAGAAGATGCTTGACTTGCTTAATAAAGTTTTTATCAACTATTTCAAGTAGGTCCTTCTAAAAAATATTTGGGATTTGCATGACTTGGAAAGATTTGAATCCTTTAAGCCCATCAAACTCTGCTTAAAACAAAATAGGAAGATCAGAAATGTCAAGTGATTTGTGTTTAAAGAATTCAGATATACTTTCTTAATGTTCCTGGTAATTTATGAGTTGAACCCAGCTTGGATTTGTCATTAAGGAAAGACATGTTAAACCTAATTTAACCCCCAAAGCATATGTACTTATACTTCTAAAAGTATATTTTTGACTTTGAGGAAAATTCTCAGTTCCTTTCAGAGGGCAATACATAGCCCTTTATTAAGGAAGGTTTCTTATTCCAAAAATAAGTTCCTAATAATTATCACCCATCCCTACTGTAATTTATTCTCCTTGGCAAGTGTTTGAAGCTGTTTTGTCAGAACAAATATAATACGCCCTTTGCAAAAATAGTCTGAATAGAAAGTACAGCCTTGTGTATCTTGTTTTTCTAGAGATACAAAACGCTCATGAAGATGTTGGATAAAGATGACCATGATATTTTAAGGCTGTATATATAACCCTTGAACGTTTTTATACATGCACCAACCTCTTTTTAGATCTATGTCTGCTATTGTAAG